TGTGGATAAGAATTGAGGAAGGCCGACAAGGCAGATATCATGGTAGGATTCTGTTATGGACTGACCAAAAAGGAAGAAGAGGCAGTTGAAATACTCTACAGGCAGTTGGATGAGGTTTCACGATTGCTAACCTGTGTTCTCATCAGGAACTTCAGCTTCCCAGATGTCTTCTGGAAATACAATATAGCAGAGAGAGAATAATCCCAGAGGCTCCTGGACTACGTGGAAGACAAATCCCTGACACTGGTGTATCAGGACACTTCCCTAGCTGGTGAGAGAGCCAGCTAGGGATGATGCCCTCCTGGACTTCTGCTTGTGAACAGAGAAGGACTTGTGGGGGATGTAGCGATTGGAGACTGTCTTGGTTGCACTGATCATGAAATGATAGTTTTCATTTCTTGCAGAAGTAAGGAAGGGGGTCATCAGAACTGCTCTACTGGACTTGTGCAGGGCAGACTTTGGCCTTTACAAAAGACTGATTGGTAAAGCCTCTTCGGAGGCTGTCCTGAAGTGGAAAGAAGTCTGGACATACTTCAAGAAGGAAGTCTTAAAGGTGCAGAAGCAAGGCCATCCCTATGTCCCAAAAGATGGGAAGGGAAACCGGCCTGGTTGAACAGAGAGCTTTGGCTGGAACTCAGGGGGAACTCAGGGCAAAAGGAGTTTATGGCCTTTGGAAGAGGGACAGGCCACTCATGAGGACTAAGCCGGATATTAGGAAAAAGATCTTCACAGGTGTATTGAAGCTATGCAAGGATAAAATTAGAAGGGCCAAAGCCCAGCTCAGCCTGGCTACTGCTATTAAATTAATAAAATATTTATTTTTATTTAAAATATTAATTTTAAAATGTTCCTATAAATACATTCACAACAAAAAGAGGACTAGAGAGCATCTTCATCCTATATTGGACACAGGGCGAAACAAGGATAAGGAAAAGGCTGAGGTACTTATTGCTGCCTTTACCTCAGTCTTTAGAAGGACGACTTCTTGTTCCCTGGGAACCCAGCCCCCTGCACTGTAAGACAGGGATAAGGGCAGAATGAAACCTCCGTAATCAAAGAGGAGATGGTTAGCGACCACTACATCATTTAGACATACACAAATCTATGGGGCTGGATGGGTTACACCCAAGAGCACTGAAGGAGTTGGCAGATGTTCTCACCGAGCTACTTTCTATCACTTATTAGCAGTCCTCGCTAACTGGGGAGGTTCCTGTGGACTGGAGGTTAGCAAATGTGACACCCATCTATAAGGAGGGCCACAAGGGGGATCTGGACAACTACCGACCTGTCAGACTAACCTCAGTGCCAGAGAAGGTTATGGAACAAATGATCTTGAATGCCATTACATACCATATATGGGACAACCAGATGATCAGACCCAGTCAGCATGGGTTCATGAAAGGCAGGTCCTACATGGTGAAACTGATCTCCTTCTATGACAAAATGATTCTCTTAGTGGATGAGGGAAAGGCTGTAGATGTTGTTTACCTGGACTTGACTCATGCTTTTGACACTGCTTCCCACAGCATTCTTCTGGAGAAACTGGCTGTTCATGGCTTTGATGGGCATACACTTTTCTGGACT